CCCCCCCCCCCAGGACTGCCCCCTTTCCTGCCTCCACAGGGGAGGGACTGCAATGCCAGGCTCTGGCTGGGCAATGGACAGGCTGGGAAGAAGAGGAGGAGGAGGAAGAGGAAGAGGAAGAAAAGAGGAGACCACACCCGCCTTTGGAGGGGCGAGGAAGGGGCGGAGGGCTCTCACACAAAGGAAGGGAACTGGAAGGCCCTTGGACAACTACCTGGCGCTGTCTGCCTTCAAGTCCTTCCCGACTTAGGGCGACCCTAAGGCGACCCTCTCCTGGGGTTTCCTTGGCAAGTTTCTTCAGGGGGGGGTTGACATTGCTTTCCCCCTGAGGCTGAGAGAGTGTGAGAGGCTTGCCCTGAGTCTCCCTGGTTACAATATGGGGCACCACTCTGCGCCTCTCCTTTCGTTCCTTCATTTCTTTTTCTTGTTTTGCAGATATGGAGAGGCCCATCCCCAGAAGAAGAGAGTTTTGGTGTTGGTTCAGTTCAGGCGGGAAGGGACCCACCCTTTCCTTTTGCCGCTCTTTCTTGGCCTGATTTGTGAACAAAGTGTTTCGAAGAAAAGACTTCACTTGCTCTTTGAGAGGCTTCACCTTGGAGCGCGCCCAGGAGTGCTTAAGAAGTGGGGAATTGTCTGCCTTTCAAAGCCTGCTTAGGAGGACATTTCCACCAGGAATACGAAAGGATAACATTTTGTCAGTGTGTATACGTAGAAATACCTTTGACAGTCAAAAAAACACCCACAGATGGGCCCTAGAACAGATCAAACATGACATCTCCCTGGAGGCCAGGATAGCAAAACTGAGGCTGTCATACTTCGGCCACGTCATAAGAAGGCATGAATCATTAGAAAAGAATCATTAGAAAAGGCATGAATCATTAGAAAGGAAAAATGCTAGGAAAGGTGGAAAGAAGTAGAAAGAGAGGAAGACCACATGCTAGATGGATGGACTCTATTAAAGCAGGTCTAAATTTACAGAAACTAAGCAGAGCAGTGGAGGACAGCAGGTCTTGGAGATATCTCATCCACAGGGTCACCATAGGTTGGGATCAATGCAAAGGCAGTTAACAACAACAACACAGAGAAAATGTAAATGTTGCATTCACACCCTTTTGTGGAGGCAGCTATCTGGTGTCTGGGATGGAGCTGAACTGCAGTACAAGATAAACCTCAAAGCTACAGCTCTGATCTAGGCATATCTATCAGATGTCAATGTGTGGAAACTGTGACATGGCTCCTTATATGCTCTGGCATGCAATGTATTAACTTGTCGTTGTTTTGTGCCTTTGTCATTTCCAACTTATGACAACCCTAAGGTGAACCTGTCATGGGGTTTTCTTGGCAAGCTTCTTCATATGATGTTTGCCATAGCCATTCTCTGAGGCTGAGAGTGTGCAGCTTGCCCAGGGTCACCTAGTGGGTTTACATGGCTGAACAGGGATTCGAACCTGGTCTTCAGAGTCATAGTCCAATATTCAAACCACTACATCACGCTGGCTCTCAATGTATTCATTTTCATAGTACCTTTGAGATGGCAGGTTAGCTTCTTCTCCAGGAGACTGCAATGTCTAGGGCGAAGGTTAAGTCCAGAGCTTCAGAGCAGTCAGGCAGGCTGGGTGATTTGGGATCTTGTAGCTGAAAAAATAACTTTCAGATTTTGCTCCCTGTCATTGTAATGCAGATGTCCTGCAGAGCTCTGCCTATCTCCATGGCTGGTTTCTTTTGTTACATCTACACTGTGCAATTATAGCAATAATTCCACTTTAACTGCATTGGCTTCATCCTATGAAGTTCTAGGATTTGTTGTTTTGTGAGGGCCCTGGAATTCAGGTACCCAAACACACACTTGGCAGCAAAAAAGATAGGATTCTTTCATGCTGAAAGGACTATGTACATGTGGGTGTTTCTGCTATAAAATAATGTTTCTTAATCTTTAGTCCTCCACAAGTTTGAAACATTAATTCCCAGAATTTCAGACCATTGGTAATGCTAGCTAGGGCTATGGGATCTTATATAGGAGAATAGTAGGATATAAATTGAATAAATAAGTAAAATAAAAATAAATCCAAAACTGTTAGAGGAATAAGGTTGATAAGCACTGTTATAAAACACCTGCTGCATTTAGGTATCTCTGGGGGAGGCATGGGATTAACACCAATCCCAGACAAAACACCACCATAAATGCAGGTCATCTATAGATCTACAGCTAGGAAACAAATTAGCTGATGGTTGACCTCTAGATAATTCTACAAATGTTTATATTACCTTATTAGCAGAACTGCTGTTCTGTTGTTTTGGGGTTTTCCCTGATGTTCAGAAAGAGAGGTTAGAATGGAAGGCCTTGATTTGCTTAAAGCAATTCTCTTTCTGCTTACTACACCCAGTATTTCTCCTTGTATCCCTAATGGCTGCAGCACACAAAAGAGGAGCTCTGGATAATACATATGTCCAAATTACAAATATACATGCAGATCACAGATCAGCAAAAACAATAGTTGCAAAATCCCTGGACACAGTTATACACATCTTGAAAATTTCTATATATGTGTTTGAGGGAGAGCAATTGCTGCAATAACCTGCAGGAATGTGGAGGATGTGGGCAGCACCCTTGAAGAGTTGGGTGACACCACTGCTCCCCAAGCATTCCTGCTTTTGGATAGAAATAGGCTGTGCATTTGCCTGCATCCCTTTAAAAAGCTGAAGAGATGGTATGAGTGAGGCAAGGCTCAGTGGGAGGAAAAAGGAGAGGCCAGATTTAAAAAAAAAATCGTTAAAAATATTGTTACAACTATTACCATTACATTCAGTGATATACACGAATTATGATTTATGAGTAACATTAGCACAAAAAACATTAGTAAGGATTCTATATGGTATGGCATGGTATGGTATAGTATGGGAAGAGGTCAGTGGGAGGGAATGCCATGAGTTACTGCACCAGGTGATGCCAACCCTAGTGATGCCACTGACTACCTGCACAGGTTTGCTGTACCGATAATGGAGAGGGAGGAGAGAACATAAAAAGTAACTTGATAGCGACCTTAACATTTCCCAGGGAGTCTTAACACAGTCAGAATTTCTGTTTTGAATTTCTATTTATTAAAGGTGCATTTATTCAAAGAAAACATTCTCTCTGTAAAGAAACATAAATCCTTTTAAAAGAAGTTTTTTTAGAAGAACTTAGAAAAGTTACTCTTTTTTTACTGTGTTAACTCCTGTCTAGTTGACTTTGACTTATGTCAGCCTTATAAATCAGAGACCTCCAAGTCACCATGTCATCAACAATCCTACTCAGGTCTTGCAGATTCAGAGCCTGGCTTCCTTGATTTAGTCTATACATCTGGAATGTGGTCTTTCTCTTTTCTACTACCTTCTACATTAACAAGCATTACTGTCTTTTCTGGTGAGTCATGCCTTCTCATGATAGATGTGACAGTTTCAGTTTAGTTATCTTGGCTTCTAGGGAGAGTTCAGGCTTGATTTGCTCTAGGATCCATTTATTTGTTTTTTTTAGCAGTTGACGGTATCCATAGAACTCTTCTCCAGCACCACATTTCAAATTAGTTGATTTTCTTCTTATCAATTTTCTTCACTGTCCAGCTTTCATAACCTTTCATAGAAATGGGAAATACAATGGCATTGACAATCTTAACTTTAGTATTTAATTATAAATTTTTGCACTTCAAGATCTTGTCTACTTCCCTCATAGTTGCCCTTCTGAGTCCTAGTCTTTTTCTAGTTTCTTGACTGTAATCTTCATTCTGATTAAGGACTAAGCCAAGGTATGGAAATCTTGGATGTCTTTAATGTGTACTTTAAAGTTGTGTATATCATCTGTGATCATTATTTTTGTTTTCTTAATGTTTAACTATAAACCTGCCTTTGCACTTTCTTCCCTGACTTTCTTCAGTAATTGTTCCAAGTCTTTGCTGTTTTCTGCTAGTAGTATGGTTTCATCCGCATTTCTTAAACTTTTGATGTTCCTTCCTCCAATTTTCATGTCTCCTTCCTCCAATATGTTCAGCATATAAGTTAAACAAATAGGATGATAAAATGCAGCCTTCCCTGACTCCCTTGCCAATTGAAAACCATTTCTCTGTATTATGTCCCAATGGTAGCCTCTTGTCTTGAGTACAGGTTACACTTCAGGACAATCAAATGTTGTGGCACACACATTTCTTTAAGAGCAATCCATAGTTTTACATGATCTATACAATCAAAGGATTTACTGTAATCTATTAACACAGGCTGTTCGACAGTGGAACACACTCCCTCGCAGTGTAGTGGAGTCTCCTTCCTTGGAAGTCTTTAAGCAGAGGCTGGATGGCCATCTGTCGGGGATGCTTTGATTGGGAGTTCCTGCATGGCAGGGCGGTTGGACTGGATGGCCCTTGTGGTCTCTTCCAACTCTATGATTCTAGGGTGATATTCTTTTGAAATTCTTTGGTGCACTCCATTATCTAGTGTATGTTTGCAATTAATTTCCCATGCAAGCAAAGTGATGCTCAAAATTCTACAACAAATACTTTTACTATATATGTTTGCAATATGATCCCTAGTGTCTCTTCTTTTCCTGAACATTGCTTGGACACTTGGCATTTCGTGCTCCATATATGGCAAAAGTATTTGTTGTAGAATTTTGATCATCACTTTGCTTGCATTGGAAGTTAATGCAATGGTTGTGTGGTTACTGCAATCCCTAGGATGTATATTGAGCATTTCCAATCTGTAGGCCATTCTTTTGTTTTCTGTATTTGTTGACAGAGTTTAATTAGAATGAGAGTAGATTCTGTCTGTGTAGCTTGGAGCAGCTCTATTGGTATCCCAACTGTTCATGGTGATTTATTTCTCCCAAGTCTTCTGAGTGAAGCTTCCACTCTACTTTCTAAAATTGAAGGTTCATCTTCAAATGGTTCTTCCTTGGATGAATCTGTCATCCTTTTGTCTCTTCTGTATAGTTCTTCAGTGTATTGTTTCCATTGTCTTTTTATTTCTACTTGGTCATGTAATGTGCTCTCCTGTTGGGTGTAAAGCATCCCCACTCTTGGTTTAAATTTCCCTTTGATTTCTGAGATCTTGTAGAAGAGGTTTCTTGTTCTTCCTTTGTTGTTGTCATCTTCTGTTTCTCTGCAATGATTATTATAGTAGTTTTCTTTCTTGACTACAGTTCCAGAATCTCCCAGTCAGCATGCTTTTTGCCCATGCTAGCTGGGCAGTTCTAAGAACTGTAGGCCTAGAAGACATTTTTCCAAGTTCTGTGACTAGAAATAATTAGCCTTTTCATATATCCTTGTTTGAAATGTTGTTTGGTTTTAGAAATTACCACTTTTTCCTCTGAAATAATCTGAGTGTTGTATAATGTCCTTATAGAAAGAATCTTGTTATATTCCCTTCCAAAACTAATTTGAGAGGGTTGTCTGTTTTATTGATTTATTTTTATATAGCACCATATACATCAATACACTGAATAAATCACCATTATCATCAACATCGTCCAAGGAACAGAACTACATCTGAAATACACCAGCTATGCATCCTTATTGTGCCATATACTCGGCTCACCAACAACACAACTTTAATATGTCAATTGAGTCCATACTTACATGCATTCATGCTTTGTCAAGTATAAATGATATGGGCTATGGCATGATTCCAGCAAGTCATATAATCTTGTGTCCAAAGCATGACAGCCTCAGTTTAGCCATATTGGCTGCTAGTAAGTATTTACTCTAGAACCCATTGATTGTTTTAATGAATGTAAAACTCTCCTTGTCCTCCATCTTTCAAATGAGTTGACTTTCTGCCCATCAGTTTCTTTCATTGTCCAGCTTTCATACTCATACATAGAAAATGAAAATACATTTAATAATTTAGTATATTTACACTGGAGAATCTTGTCTAGTTTCTTCATAGCTGCTCCTGTAGTGTAATGTTGTTGTTTTCACTGTCCTTGTCCAGAGTAACCCAGGCTCTCCAAAGGCCCTGCTCTTGCAGATGTTGTCCTCCACAATGCTCCTGAGTTTAAGATCTAATAGAGTAGTAAAAGGACTTTTCAGAGAAAGGTAACATCACTCAGTGGTGGTTGATCCTTCTTTTTACATGCAAAAGCAGAGTTTGGAAAGTTACAATCCAAAAGTAATTCATTCTCATGTGAAGTCGTAGGCATACCATGCAGCTGCGGACAAGTCTACATAGGGACTATCAAAAGCAGTGTCCAAACACAAGTCAAGGAACATGAGAGACACTGCAGACTGG